TTTTTTTTTTCAACACGATAAGAAGACTAGTAACGGTACTACTACACTTTTACTCACGCCATTCAGTCCTTAAAAAGACTCTTCAATCAAGCACACTGGAACCACATCTCTTGGATGGATGCGCGCGATGAGTTGCTCCATCTCTTTCCGTTTTGAAGCGTATTCTCTTGCAATCAGGGCCATCAGCTGGCGAGTCGTATAGAGGCTGTGCGCGGTGCTCACGAGCTCTGCAGCCCCACTGCAGGACGTCATGACAGACGTGTAACGCTGAACGTAGTTGGCTATTGGGTGGCGCGTCAGCGTGGGATGAATGCGAAATATCTCCTGACACAAATACTCTGCGTCGTGCATTAGTTGTTTCGCACCGAATTCGCAGAGCCTTCGTATCCGCGAAACGCCCTCCACGAAACCAGTAACAACATTAAGCATAACGTGGTCAAGGAGTCGTTTCATGCTCACGCTTGGGACATCCCTGTACAATTCCCGCAGCTCTTTTTGGCAGCGGAGGAGCGCATCCACAGCCTGACGGACAGGAGCTGAAAAACTGCTGCTGCCTCTCACTTGGGAGACAGCCGTGGGGAACCCCTTCGCGACGTCATTCCAGTTGAGCTCCTCCATCGAGCCCGCGAGGGATTCCGGCGACAGAAGCTGACTGCTGAGCACACGAAGGCCATGCTGGCTGACAAAATTGCACAGGCGCCCCATGGACTCCTTCATTACTGCCACCTGATCAAGTTGCTCCGCTGGCAGCAAGGGGCCCAATGACGTGAGCGTGGCCTTGAAAGCGAAGGCGACGGTGGTCACACTGCACAGGCCCGTCGCCCTCTCCACGGCAGCAAAGAGATGCGGACGACTGTTTGCAACGCTCTTCCACGCTAAACACGGGCTCGACTCGAGTACGTCCCATTGAAAGGAGTGTGGGATGTAGCTTGTGCGCAGGTGCGCGGCAAATTGCTTCAGCTTCGCGTCGGCGGAAGTACACGAAGCAAGCCACTGATTGTCGCTGGAGACAAAATATGCCACGATATACCACACAAAGACAGACATCAACGTGAGGTTCACGCCCAGCAGCGCGAGGGCTGTGCGCCGCAGAACCTGCGCGTACGCCACAGCCTCCGTCATCATCTTCACCACCATGAGGCTGGAAAATGTGAGCACCCCGACGCCGTCGTCCGGCGCGAGTAACCTCAGACGCTGGCCCGTGTCCGCCGGGCGCGCCTCCTGCAGCGCCGTCTGCGCAGCGAAAAAGGGATTGGGTGCCGCCGCAACCTCGGCGTCGCCCGCCCCGCGCAGGACATAACGCACCACAGCATCCCCGTCGTCTCGGCGCAGGCGCCCCGGAGGCACGACGAGGTACGTCGCCGCTGTCTCTGCATCCGCGCGTGACTCCTTGCAAGGCACAAGGACGTAGAGCGGCGGGAAGTCCGCCTCCGTCGCGCCCACTGGCCTTCCCGTGTCGCTGCGAAGCAGCTGGCACAAGGTGTCCGCCTGGCTACCGGCGAAGCACTGTCTAACAAGAAACGCCAGTCGGGCCTCCACATTGGTGGTGGCGTCGTCCGCCAAGCCACTCCCCACCGGCAATACCGGCCGACAAACATCTACGAACTGTAACAGCAGACGGCACGTCAGCAAGACCTCCATCAGCGTCACACTCTCCAGAGGCAGGTATGAATGGTAAACCTGCACCACCTGCAACGCCTCTTTCACGGCGTGCAGGCCAATACCACAGCAGCTTTCATACGCCTCAATGGGGAATACAGAGCTGAAAGATGAAACGGGAGCCGAGTCGTTATTCTTCAGCGCCGTACCGGTAGGGAATTCATTGATCAGGACACCTTTAAGAATCCCTTCAAAGATAATGCCTTCAGTCTCCGTCCACACGTCACTGTACGCCGAGGAGAAGAGCGTCTCAAAGAATCGTTGAAGAGTAAAAACGGCACGCAGAAACGAGCTTAGTTGGGAAACCAGCAGAAGTGTAGAGCGCCGCACCTCCAGAGGAGGGACATGACTCGCCAGCTCCATCACCCCATCAATGTCACCGGATGTCGCCTTGAAGCATCGCCTAACCACACCATACAGCTCATCCACAATACACATCTCTATAAGACGCCCCGGTGTCATTGATCCCATGGCGTGACTGTTGTTGTTTCTGTTGTTATTGTTGAATGTTGCCCCGTTGCGAAAACTAATGAACGCCGCAGTCTCCCCACGAGAACACAAGGCCCGCGCACCCCGAACCACACACAAGGCGGCGCGCAGAACGTTATCGGGCCAGACATCGGGTTCCTCCAGTAGAGCACCAAGGAGGTGAAAGAGATAGCTGCGCAACGCCGCTCCCACCACCGATGCTCCATTACTGCAGAGGAAATGGTGTTTCTCCAGGATGGCTGCCCCAAGGACGGTTGCCCCACACATCCCCTCCACATTCGCCCCTTCATTTTCGTGGAAAGAGCCGACTGGGGTGGATGCACAGAGCACATTCCCTCCTTGAAGTCGCAGCCCATCCAGCAGCTGCAACGCCTCCGCAAAGTGTCCGGCCTCCAGCAGGGAATCAACGCACCGTGTTTGGTCGTGTCGTCTCTTCATCGTCTTGAGCATACGGAAGAGCATCTTCAAGTTGGTGCGGCGTCGCTTTAGCGCCAATACACCAACCGCCTCACAGACTACCCTCTTTTGCAGCTGCACCTGTTGGCGTGTTGATTGACACGCTGAAATGCACGTGTCCATTGCATCACAGAGATCCAGTAGCACTGGCACAGCAGACAAGTAGAGCCTCGCCGTTCCGCACACCGCAGCCTTACCAGCCAGCAGCCCCCCATCGCTGGCACATGCCTCGCAACTGCCCCTTGCGCACGTCAGCGGTTCATTTTCTATCTCTGCTGCAGCCCCTGGGCCGGAGCACATCATCTGCCGCTTGAAAGCCGCCTCAAGCAGGAGGTACATCTCCTCCATGTGACGCAGCTTTTCGGTTTGTATCGCCACGATGGACGCGAGGAGATCGTCGGTCCCCCCGGGCATGCCACAGATGTACTGCACCACGTCCTCCCGCGCCGTCACCGCGGAAGACCATTCCGCCGTAATTCGGGCGACGCGTGCATGCGTCAGCGACACCGTGCCGTCACCTCCCACCGCCCCCACCTTCTTCTCTGTTGTTGGCGCAGTCAAGGGAAAGGAGAGGGACAAATTCCGCCGCAGGCGCCGGTGCCGCTCCTTCTCCTCCAGTAGCAGCGCGGCGTACCACTCGACAGGACCGCAGCAGCAGTCGCCATCAGCAGGCATCACCTGCTGTCCGCGTTCTCCACTTGTGGATGTTCGCTGTCGGTTTTGGTTCCTCGTTTCCGGGTGGCGCTGCTTTATACACCTACTGCCCCTCTCAGTTCTGTTGCTCCTCCACCACGCCGCCCGTTTACACCGCAGGCAATATTGCCAAGGTGCCGTTCCCTTTTTTTTTGTCTTGTCGTTGCCTTCGTGCTGTGTGCGCACGTGACTGAGAGCTGCGGCAGCGGGCGCCACCGCCACCTGCCGCTGCTGCTGCAAAACACACATGTGTGGTGGGACCCCGCAAAAGGTAAAAAAAAGAGGCAAATGTGGGGGCAAAAACTAAAACAATAAACCGCAGGTATCTGACAGTTCACAGCAACCAGCTAATCACATTGGTGAGAGTGAAGGCGCATGGGTGTGCGTGATCGGTCGTAGCCGCGCCACAGAGGAGGAAGCACACTTAGAACCACATGGCTGGCAGCGTCTGTGCCACACAGGGTCCTCATTTTCCGCTCGTCTAGTTTCTTTTTCTTCGTTGATGTTTTTTTTTCCCCCCTTCTCTTCTTTTTTTTTTTTTCTTCTTCTTTTTGCTGCTGCGTTACTGCACCGTCTCCCGCCTCTCCCGACTCCTTTGGCCTCCCCCTTTTTGCTCTTGTCTTCGTTTCCTTGTTTTCTTCTTTTTTTTTCTCTCGTCTCATTTCTTTTTTTTTTTTCCTCCTGCTTTCACTCGGCCTCATTCGTCTACCCTCGTCACACGCTCCTTCGCCCCCTCCTCCTTTACTCAGCCGCGCACAGGTGGTGTTGTCGTTGCTGCTGCTCCGCTCGCTGCCGCTGGCCGCCCGTCGCTGTCGGCTCCCCCGCAGCGCAGCCGTGTGTCAGTCCCACGCGGATGAAACGCCCGGGGAGGGGTGTCTTCTGCTCAATGGGCGGAGCGCCACCGCCCCACCCTGAGTTTGCCATCGCAGCCCCCACCACATCACAGCCCCCCACTTCATTTTCGGATT